CAAATAAATACTTAATATTTAGAATGTAAAAAAGTATCTTATTCTCACGTGTCTAGAAAAAAATCTGTTTATTCCTTATCGTTTACTACGCATTAAAAACGCAGTAAAAACTAGGTTAGTGACTGTATAATACGGTAGGCCAAGATTTAGTCTCGATAAACCTTTGTGGGTCAGCGGTCAGGAGCCATTCCAAGAGAGGTTTAAATAATTATTTGAAAGTATTTTTTCAGCATAAATATGCATTTTAAAATGTTTTTAATTATGTTTTCATATTCTACTTACTTTTTCTTGTCTTTCCTTACAATTAATGACATTACAACTGAATCACCCTTTAACTCTCAATGTGTAAGTAAATACCACAGTAGTACTCAACAGTTCGCTCTATAATAAAGATACTGCACATCTTTTTTGTTTTAGTTCTTTTATTCATAATATTGTTGCAAAAAAAACTATTAATTATACAGGCTGTTACAAAAGTGCTTCCCACTACATCGATCTCGGAAACGGTAAGAGATACGCACTAGCTTAAATGGGGGCAAAGTTGCGTAATCAGGGGATCGAAATATTTGAAAAAAAAACGAAATTTTGGAAATCCGATTTTGTTTCATTTCAGCTTCGTTTGAGGTGATATTGACAAAAGAAGGACACTTTCTCATGGCAACTTTTGCCCTCTATCGGATGGCATAATCAATTTTTATATGTAGCTCTTCGTCTCGCCATGACCATCATCATCTTCATTTTTTAAATACGGCTCTGGAAATTTTATTAAATTATTTACAAGGGTTCATGACCCCCCAATACTGTACTGCCTCAGCCCGAAGCAGATTCGGACGTTTTGTCTCAAAAAATTCATCTTCCGTATATTCGTTCTTTCATCTAAATTTTTTATTTAGATGGGGCTAATAGTTTAACTAGGTAGATCTCACAGAGTATAACGATACTTACAGTGTGTGATAATTCAAGAAAGATGAAACCTTACATATTAAAATTGACTATGCCATTCGATAGAGGGCAAAAAGTTGCCATGGGAAAGTATCCTTCTTTTTCCATATCACCTCAAACGAGACTGAAATGAAACACAATCAGATATCCAAAATTTCGTTTTTTTTTCAAATATTTCGAAAATTAATCACGTTAGCCTTGATTTTTTGGAGGTATAATGTTGGTCCCCTGATTACGCAACTTTCTCCAATTTAAACTAGTTTGTATCTCTTATCATCTCCCAGATCCCTGTAGTGAGAAGCGAATTTGTAACACCCTGTATATTCTACAAAGTAAATTGTATCAATATTTGAAACACATATTGATGTACATGATTAGGATTCACGCTAAATACTGGTAATAAAATAGGATATATTTTTAGACATGGACAAAACAGGTTCATATTACGGTGTATACGGGGTGTCTAACGGTGACGGCCCATTAAAATTATTTCAGAGACTACTTTGATTTGAATTTTGAAAATTTGGGAACCCGGGTTTTCGGGCATGCCCTTCTCAATTGAAATAATGGCGTCCACGTACCACTTCCGGTTATACCGGAAGTCGCCATCAACTTGCTTATTTGAAATGGAACACCCTATATATTATTGCAATTTTGGATTCTACGTTGTTATTTTCCCTATTCCTAAAATTAACCGTTTTCGAGATATTTAATTTTTTTCAAAAAACAAATGGAGAGAAACAGTGACTAGCTTCAGACGATGTGTATTTCATAGTAAGAAGGATAAAGCAACAATTTGATACCGAAAAAAAAAATGATAAAGTTTTGAAAATCATTGAAATCTGTTAATAAATATGCCAACTGCCTCGTGTAAAAATATCAGATCGATTGCCAATATAGTTTTTTTGAAAAATTATATTAAAAATTATGCTCTATTACACAGGCTATTAAGGGAGTTGGGGAAAAATTTTAATCAAACGTGAATATTGCTCTTAAAAATGGTTAGGATCGGGAAAATAAAATTGCAATTAAAGAATTAAATATTACTAAACATTTTAAAACAATAAAAATATGCACTTACAATGTAATTATTGAGATAATGGAATGAATATATAACGTTTTGGACAAATTTGAACAAACATCTGATCCAATGAAAGGAAATATGGCAACACTGTAGGCTGTATTTAACGCTTCGACGGAAGCGCTATATTTGAATAGCTCGATTATAGACTAAAATTATTCCAGTCCAAAACACATGTAGTAATAATTAATATTAAATATATTTTTCGTGATCTAATGCAATATAATAGCAATTTGAAACAAAAATTGAAGGGATCTCTTTGCAAAACGAACAGTATAGATGTTCTGTCATAATGTTCA